TCCTCCTCCTCCTCCTCCTCCTCCTCCTCCTCCTCCTCCTCCTCCCTTCCAGCAGTGATGATATTACCTAGTTGGGTCATGAAACGTCTGCAAGAAAACCACCAAGCTCAGAGAGCAACCCCAGTTCAAGCCTGAGCTACAAAGATTCTGTTCTATTGAAACATCTATTTCTAGCAAGGGGGGGGACATCTCCTCCCCCAGCACCAAACCTGGCCTTCACCTCTTGCAAAACAGGATGAAACCTAAGTGGAATTTTGCAGTCTCCGAGCCCAGAACACCACTTAATCCTTGTATTTAAGGCTTAGAGACGGTTGGAAAATCGTGAATTGCCCATCTCTGTTTGTTTTCGCTGTTTGTTTTTTTCCTTAAAAACCCTCTTTATCTTTAAAACAAGCCATAAAGAAATGCAACTTGAAGCACCATAGGAGGTCATAAAGGGATTGCAATTTCAGGACTGATTAAAAAAAAAAATCCACTTAACGCACACTGATAAAAGCCATAAAATCAGAAGAAGCAGGGAAACAGGCCAGTCTAAAGGTTGTTAAAAACACAGCATGGAAGGAAGGGTGGTTCAGAGGACTCGGCAGGGTGTGTGTGTGTGTGTGTTGGTGTGTGTACGTGTGTTGGTGTGTGCATGTGTGTGAGTGTGTAGGGAAAAGCTTGCTCGCAGGTAATGTGTGTGGCCATGCAAGACAATGTCACCATCAAAACACCTTCAGGGTCATTAAAGATCTAACAGGATTATAAAAAGAGCATGCACGTGTGCGTGCACACACATACACACACAAACCACACAACACAAACACATTTTGGGGGTTTTTTTTTAGTGCCTTTGAGTCAGTGTTGACGCCTGGCAATTGCCTGGCTGGTCTCTGTAGTTTTCTTGGCAAGGTTTTTTCCGGAAATGTTTTTGCAATTTAGCTCTCCTTCCAAGGGCTGAAAGACACGGACTTATTTGTATACTTCTTTACTTCTTTAAGTGAAATTATTATTTACTTGATTTCTTCTTGCAATTTCGGCTTTTAGGCTTCGTTGAAAGCCTGAATTTAAGCAGGGGATAAAAATCACTACACAAATTACATTTGCAATGCAGGGGATATGAATAAACACCCTTGCTGTAAATCAGAAGGTGTCTGACGAAAACCGTCTCTAACACGTTTTATTAAAAGGCACAAACTTGGCCTCCTGATTTTTGGCTACTGTAAACGAACACAGCTCTCTCCTCCTACCTAATTCTATAAAATGACTATCAAAGCAGCACCCACGCCCTGGAACAGACGTACTTTGCAACCCTGGATCCTAGTTGAAAAAAAATTCAAGGGTTTGCAAATATATTAATCAAGTTCTCAGCACACACACACCAGAACCAGTGTGTGGAAAACATCAAGTGCCAGGCATACATGAAGGAGTCTTTTTTTAAAAAAAAAATGCAAATCTTCAATCTTGTGGGTGATGTTTGCCAGACACTCTGTTTTGTGTGCGTGTGCATGTGTGCGTTTAAATGCAATGTTTTCTGGTTTATGAAAAATAGTTGAGGAATCTTTAAGATTCTGCCTGCTCTCTCTCTCTTTCCTTTCTTTCTCTTTTTCTTCCTTTCTTCCTCTTTGCAGAGAGAGAGAGAGAGAGAGAGAGAGAGAGAGAGAGAGAGAGAGAGAGAGAGAGAGAGAGAGAGAGAGCAAAGTCACCCAGCCAGCTTTCATGCCCAAGGCAGAACTAGAACTCACCATCTCCTGGTGATTAGTCCAAAGTCACCCAGCTAGCTTTCATGCCTAAGGCAGGACTAGAACTCACCATCTCCTGGTGATTGGTCCAAAGTCACCCAGCTGGCCATCATGGCTAAGGCAGGACTAGAACACACTGTCTCCCACTTTCTAGCCTGGTACCTTAATCCACAGAGCAAACTGACATTCTATGTCTCTCTTCCACTTCTCCAGTTCCCGGCACAGACTTTAGTGTGGTGAAGCTTTTCCTAAGTTACAGCTGAGAAGCTGCCATTTTTAGAAACACTCATTCACTGTCATCAAAGTGGTTGTCACATGTAGCCTTGTGTCTTCCCCTCAATGTACTTTTTGCTTCTGTCTTCGTTTTCCTCTGGTTTTCCACCCTTGGCAACGTTAAAGACACATGGACTTCAGTTCCCAGAATTCCTCAGCCGGCATGCTTTAAGATAGGGGTACTTCATTTCCCAGAATTCCCCAGCCAGCATGCTTTAAGATGGATAGACTTCAATTCCCAGAATTCCCCAGCCAGCAAACTTTAAGATATGGGTACTTCATTTCCCAGAATTCCCCAGCCGGCATGCTTTAAGATGGATAGAGTTCATTTCCCAGAATTCCCCAGCCAGCATGCTTTAAGATGGATAGACTTCAATTCCCAGAATTCCCCAGCCAGCATGCTTTAAGATGGATAGACTTCAATTCCCAGAATTCCCCAGCAGCATGCTTTAAGATGGATAGAGTTCATTTCCCAGAATTCCCCAGCCAGCATGCTTTAAGATGGATAGAGTTCATTTCCCAGAATTCCCCAGCCAGCATGCTTTAAGATGGATAGACTTCAATTCCCAGAATTCCCCAGCCAGCATGCTTTAAGATGGATAGACTTCAATTCCCAG